AAAACGTCTGCGCATGCACCAAATTATGAAAATATGGCGGGGAATTTGAATATCAATTTCTAAAACAAAAACATGCTTATTAATTGGTCAAAAATTAGTAAAACAAACGACCATTGGACAAACTTTACATGTTGTTAATCACAACTAAAGCTAGTAATATCTTAGAAGATTTAGAAATATTGCGACTTTTATATAACAACATATATAACCAGAGCGTACTGGAGCAGAGAGCTCAAACGACCATATATATATATATATATATATATATATATATATATATATATATATATATATATATATATATATATATATATATATATATATATATATATATGGTCGTTTGAGCTCTCTGCTCCAGTACGCTCTGCGCATGGCAGGATGCGTTGAGTCACCGTGTAGTACCACAAACACCGCGGAAAAGCGTCTGCGCATGCACCGAATTATGAAAATATAGCGGGGAATTTGAATATCAATTTCTAAAACAAAAACATGCTTATTAATTGGTCAAAAATTAGTAAAACAAACGAGAAAATATAGCAAATGGGTAGACTACACATTAATTGAAAGCGTCCTGGCATTTAAAGTATGGAATGAAATATAATTCATGTAAAATATTGTTGATTTTAACGGACACGACTTCGGAAATTTTTGCAAAATTATTCAAAACAAAAATTCAACCTCAAAAGTTAAGAAAACTCTCGAAAAGTTAAGCTTCTTAACCCACTCAAATTGTAGAATAAATCCTAAAGTTTAATTCTTGTGAACACGAAAATGTTTTATATTTGGCGACACAGTTTTTTTTAAAGAAATGTATCTCAAACGAAAATTCGGAAATTGTCGTTGCTTAGTTGATAAACAAAATGTTTCAGACGATAAATTTGTCAACAATCACCTTTAGTTCATGTTCTTGTACAATACAATTTCTTGAACCTTCTGGCTGTATTTATTCCTAGTTTTTAGAATGACATGTTTATTTTTGCACTCGAAATCTGACTGTAAAGACGCACAATAAAGTCACTCCTTTTTACCGCCTTTTTGAACCTTCGGAAACGTTCGGAACAGCTTTTCATCAAGTTCGCAATACTATTACAGGTAAGGTTGAGGCAGGCGCAGAAGTTTTTCCGCGGTGTTATATGGGAGTTGATCAAAATATCAAATTTTAATATACTTTGTTTAAATATTTCATGGTTGCGGAGCTCGATTATAGTAGCGACACGAACAAGCAATATTTCTAAACAAAAATCGCTAGTATTGCATCGCGTCTAGCAGGTTCCTGAGAATGTTGTATTTTTACACGCAATTCGATGAATTTCATAGTGTAATTTATAGTAAACTTGTGACACAAGAGGTAAATATCCGACGAATAGACCAACATCCATTCGGACGATGCAAAGTGCGGAGCTCGCGATATATTTAATGATGTCCAAACTGTTAATTTGGCTAAATAAATCCGCTGTAATTTCCAGGGAAACTGGTTCCCGAAACGTTTAAAAGTTCGCCTTTTTACGGTTCTTGTATGTCGCCATTAAGCCATCTTAATATCCAAAAACGACAAGTTTTAATACAAAGTTGAGCTGTTTCGAAGAGCCATGTTTCTTGCTTATTTTGAAGGACTAGATCCCAGGCTTTCACGTAAAAACACAGGGATATTTTAGGATTTTTTAGAATATTTGCAATATTTTTAGTCTTGATAAAAATTTGCGGGGTTAAAGGTCAAAATACCGGAAGTGATCAACAAAAACTGCAAAATATGGTTTAAAAACACAGTTTTTTGGTTGAATAATACTTGAACTGGAGATTCAAAGTAAAATGCGAAGTCGAATTACTTATATTAGGCAATGTTGGGCATATAAAACGGACTTAGCCGCTGACTACAAAAGCGGGAGCAAAATGTCCCATATTTCTGGTAGTAAACATGGGGAAGTGCATCACTTCTCAAACCGCATAACAGCAGCTATTTGTGCGCGCAAGAATTGGTACGTTTCATATTGAAATTATTTCATTTCAATGCTGTCAAGTATTAGTTAAAATGAACAATTCAAATTTTCAATAAACAGATTTTACTATAGTAAATACTGGGTTGCTCTTGTTTGGCAAACTCGAAAGCATGTTTGAAACCACAGCATAAAACAATATGTGAATATGAATAATATGGCTACATTGCAAATTGTTACAAGCCTAAAAGCTAAAATATGAAAATTATTTGGGAGTATTAAACTTATGAAAGGCACAGTGTTATTTTTTGGTTAGCATGTACAACATTAAATTATGTTGACATGGTTGAATTGATCTGCTCTTTTAATCACCCCCTCCCTGACAGCTCTCTCCCCTCGACAAGTAAAATAGTGAAAAACGGTAGAGTCCAGCCCTCAATATGGTAAAAACTAATAGCCGAGCAGATAGAGGGAAAAACACTCACCAATCGAGGGGCAGTTTCGTTTTATGATAGAAATGTTCTTCTAAACCTCCTAAATACATTTGCGGATGTTGGCCGGTCCAACTTTCCTTGTGGGGTTTGTCCAACAAGCTTTTCTGTAATCATCGATTGATTTTTACAAAACGGCATTTTGTGTATGTTTTTCGCGAGGAGAAACGAGCCCTCACTGTTTCTATCCAGCGGCAGCTTAGATCCTTCAAGTATGATAATAAAACGCCAGAATCGTTTCTACAGTAAGAACTGCAAAATAGGAGATATTACTTTAGAAATTAACACAAAAATATGTAAATTTTGGCAACATTTTTGGGACAAAAATGGGAGAAGGAAAAACACTAACCAATCGAGGAGCAATTTCATTTCCAAGGCATTTTTTAAGAATTCGTCAGTGAGGGGGGGGGGGCATCTACAAAAAGGGCCCATACTATACCGAGTGTGGAGAAATGATAGATGGTTTGTTGATAACGAAAAGTTTGGTGTGGTATTGCATTTAATAGTAGGGGGAGGGAATCTGCAGGTATTCTCCCTCAGAAAATTTTTGCATTTTTCTACCTCTATGACTGCAATTCCCTGCATTCCCTGCATTTTCTTTTTGGATATACAGCATTACATTATGCTGTAGATAGACTGAACCTTCAGTTATGTACTTGCATTGTATGTTTATGCAGATACCACTACTTGGTCACTCAGGGAACCAGCTTGAGAAACTTAGAGGGCCCGACTCCCACGAAGCGCCACCATTGTTGGCACAGAGCGGGAAAATTTTGAAAATTTTGCGTCTCGAAATCGTCGGGAATGGCATTTTCAAAATCTTCTCTACCTCTTTTGTTAGGCTCTTTCATTAATTCGTTCATTATGATTTGTGAGTCTATGCTATCCGCGAGTCAGAATGGATTATTACGAGAAATATTTTTTCAAAATGTCGATTGCACATATTTGATTATACTGCATATATATACGATTTCAAATACTTCTAGTTTCGAAATCAATTGGGTTTTTTTGGTGGGGGCCAAAATTAACCCCCCCCCCCCTTATACAACACTGGGTTGGGGGCCTGTTGCCCTCTGCGCGCGCTAACTTGTTTAGCCTAGCCTTCCAACAATTCAAACTGGCTATAGGGTATAGGATATGTAATCCACTGGAAAATGTTTACAATCTAATAAGATATTTACAACACTATGTTAGCATTAAAGATAAAAGTCAGACATAAGATTCACAAAGCAAATTTCAGTTACTAGAGAATCAAATTTCCCTTCTAAATTCCATGTTTTGCTTATTTTTTAGAGAAAAGGAACTTTGACTGGGATGGGGGAGGGGCAAAATGGTTGAGTGGGGGGCCATCATTGGGGCTGGCGGGGGTTTTGCCCCCTCGCCCAGTTATATAGTTAAAAAGATGCCCTGCATGTTCATTTCACTTGAAATTTGTTCATTTCAGTGTGCTGAACACAAATCCAGATGTAGGCCGTGGCGCCGTGCTTATTTCTTCTTGAGAGCCTCAGCACGGTGGAAGGTAAGAAGACTGTTCAATTGATAACCATCTTTAAACAGCAGAACGGTGGTAAACAAGAAGACTGTTCAATTAATAACCATCTTTAAATTAAACAGCAGCACGGTGGTAAACGAAAAGACTGTTCAATTAATAACCATCTTTAAACCGTTTAATTACCCCCAACGTAACACAGGAAACGTGTGATCGTGGTTACTTTCATAATCAACGTAAATGTTTTCTTCTGATGTAGCAAAATCAAGTTGCATGCAGGAACACCAACAGAAATTGCAACGTAAGCATCATTACAAAAAATATGTTGATGGCATTCTCAATGGCTGTGAATTTTAAACTGAGATAATTCACCAAAAGTACAAGCAATAAATGCCAATCCCCCTCCCCCATGACGCATGCGCAAACGAGTGCTGCATGGTGTAAAATACACCTGCCATTATATTGGGCCAGCTATGTTGCCAAGTGTGTGTTTCAAAATATCATTTAACTAAAATATGCACTTTACTGTACTGTTTCTCATATCCAAAGGCTAAGCTTTTGGCAATGTTATCATCATGGTTTTCCCTCCGCTTATATGTATGGTTGAAGTGAAAGAAGTTATCGATCTTTGCAAGTTTTGCATGTTGTAATAATAGTTTATACACAGCGGCGAAGCCAGGGCCGTAGCTAACATGTATAGTTGGGTGTAGGCCAAAAATTTCCGAATGACGAAGAAAATTTCCGAATATTTCATGGCATACGAAGCCACGAATGTGTTTGCTATCCGGAAAATGAAGATGCAATTTACAAACAAAAATACACATAGTTTACGCAAAGACATATTACAGAAGCATGCAGTGCCGTAGGAAGCTCTTTTATTGGTGGGTTGGAAACGAGGGTCGAAGGCCCGAGGAAATTTTTAAATTTAAATTCTCTGAAATGCCATTTCCTGGACTTTGGGGAAGTTTTGACAGAATTCTGATGGTCAGAAGTCGAGCGAGCTGAGAGCAGGCACATTTTGTAGCTCCGCTAACTTTGAAAATCTCGTTCTAAATTTCATTGTTCTATCGCATTTTACCGATTATATACAAATTGAGAATGTCTGTTTCAAACAAAGATCTATTTACAACAACGAACAGCGATCTGGACGAAATGACAGACGAACTAACCGCAGCCGAATTACAACCCGGCCAAATATTCGACCACATCGAACTGGAAAATAGCAACTGTAGTACAGTATTAAATAATGAAGACTCTAGTAGATTGTCCGAAGGCAATGTCTTGGCCGCGAAGAAGCTCAAGGGAAATTTAAAATGGCAAGGCGACTACAATGAACTCTGTCAATTTGTTGATGATCTACAACTACAGCCGGGCAGTTGGTCAACACCAGGAGGTAACTGTAAACTTTTTGAAAACGGCGAAGTAGCGATACGATGGTACTCGAATACGAGAACAATAACTCTAAAAGGGGAGAGAGCAGCCGAAGTTAAAGATAAAATAATAAAACTCAACCAGGAGTTGGGCAGCGAAGTGATGCAACAAAGCTCAAATTATGCAAAAAATTTGCATGCCGACTTGGAAACAACAATCAGTCATTTGCATACCGGGTCACAACACGATAATCTGAAAACTAATGTAACGTCCAAAACTGACTCAGAAATGAACCAGCTAAGATCGAAGTTGGATAACTTTACTGAGATCGTTAATAGAAAACTGGAGGTTCTTGCCGACGAAGTATATGCTATTAAAGAAAACAAACCGTATTCTATACTAGTGTTAGAAGATGTCAATAACGAACTAAAGAAGGAAAAAATAGAGCTTATTAGAAAGAATGAAGAATTGGAAAAAAAATATTTGAACTTATACCAATCTACGTCGGTATTGAGAGCCAAGGTTACCGATCTAGAAAACGAAAAGTCTAGTCTTACGACAGCTCTACGACTAGTTCACCAAGATAATGACTTATTAAGTAAGAGGTTAAACGACCCAAAAACCCATTGCGGTAATACGTTAGCTGCTGTGACATACCCACAAGATGACTTACCTGATAAAGCTGAAACAAGAGATGGGCCCTCTACTAGTGTCGAAAAAGGAAATCATGAAGCATCTATGACTACAGAATTAATGGTGACAACAAGAAACCAATACGAAGCTCTTACAAACCGCGTCTCCGATACAGATGACAACGCCAACTCATCTGTACAACTAATCCACGAAAAAACGATTACGCAACAAGAATCTAATCATCCCAACATACACAATAAAGAGGAAGTGAGAAACGTAAAGAAACGAGGAGAAAAGAAAGGAAATCCTTCTCAGCAGCATAGATCTCCTAGTTCATCTAACTCGACTAGCCTTAAAAACGCAGTTGAAAACAACAATCCGGTCACGATAATTATTGGAGATTCTATGATTAAAGGACTTCGTCCCGACAAGATCTCCAAATCGGTTAAGCACAAAGCTCAGGTTAAATCCTTTCCTGGTACAACAGTTGAAGATCTAACTGATTACATAAAACCTTCCCTAAAGAGGAAACCTAAAAACATTATAGTGCACGTAGGTACTAACGATTTGAAAATGAAAAGTGCTAAAGATGTTGCAAAGAGCATTGATAAGCTATGTAAATCTATCAAGTTGGATCAACCTCAAACATCAATCAGTGTTTCCGAAATTATCCACAGAGAAGATAACCAAGAACTTAAAGAGAAAGCATTGGCAGTCAATAAAGAACTGGTCAGGTATAGTGAACAGAAAAAGTTTTATCTAATTAAGAATGAAAATATTGACAAAAATAAGCTAAATTTGTATGGTTTGCACCTTAATAAGCAAGGTTCAGCAGTTTTAGCTAAAAACATTGTTACTCATATAAACTGTCTGAAGTATCTTTGATAATACTGAGCAGTTGGCAGAAAATATTATAACCACTTCAAAGGAACTCCCTATAACAAACACTAGTCAAGTTGTGAATAAACCAGATCTGAAAGGCTTCTCGATAATGCATTTAAATATTGCAAGTTTGATCAAACATATCGATCAACTAAGAATTAATTTAAAAGATAAGCCTTGTCACATTCTAAGTGTTAATGAAATTAGACTAAGTGATGATATAAACGATGGCTTTGTTAAAATAGATGGTTACGAAATATTCCGGGCCGATAGAAACCGAGCAGGTGGTGGAGTTGCATTATATATTAAAACAGCTATAAATGCAAACTCGAGACAAGATTTAATTCCAGATGGTCTAGAAGCAATATGCTTGGAAATTAAAAGAACAAAAAGCAAGCCATTTTTCGTTATTAGTTGGTATAGACCACCAAATAGTCCGGCTGAGATTTTCGACAAATTTGAACTAATGATTCGTAATCTTGAGGCGGAAGACAAAGAATATCATGTAGTGGGCGACTTAAATTGTAATTTGCTAGAGGCTGGAAAAAATGTCCATAGTAAACGACTCATAGATATCATGGACATCTATCAGCTAGAGCAAATTATAACAGAGCCAACCCGAATCACAATTGGCACGTCATCACTGATTGACGTATTTATTACAAATACCCCTCAAAAAGTAAAATCCAGTGGAGTGATTCGTCTTGGCATTAGTGACCACTACATGATTTATGTGTGTACCAAAGACGCAATCAGTAGATCGCCTCCTAAAATTGTTGAGACCAGATCTTTTAAAAACTACAACAAATTCGCATTCAGAAAGGATCTGTTCTATACACTAAATTCGTCTAATATAGAAGCTGAACTAGACCCAAACAAAATGTGGGAAAAATGGAGAAATGTGTTTACTACTACCGCAGACAAACATGTTCCATTAATAACGCGTAAAGTTAGAAGTCAACACACTCCATGGCTGACCAGTGAAATTAAGAAACTGACGAATCATCGAGACTATTTAAAACATAAAGCAACCCGCACTAAATCTCGGTATTTCTATGAAACCTATAAAATTGCTCGAAATAAAACCAACAAAATAGTAGAGAAAGCTAAATCAAGGCATTTCCAACATACCATAAACAACAATAGCAACAACCCAAAGCAATTATGGAAAAGTGTCAACCTCATTCGAGGTAAAGGATCAAAAACAACTAATGTATCCAGTCTGAAAATAGACGAAGAAACTATAACAGGTGACAAGAACATTGCTGAAGCTTTTAACTCTTTTTTCGTCAGTGTGGGTCCATCGCTTTCGCAAAGTTTACCAGAGTCTCAAAAAAGCTATTCTGATTATGTTCAACATCCCACACTTAATACCTTTTCCTTTAGTGAGGTTAGTGAAAATGACACTCTAAAGTTGCTATGTGGTTTGAAAGAATCAAAGGCGGCTGGTCCAGATAAAATAAATACTAAACTAGTCAAGGATTCTGCTGAAGTAATCTGTCCTACATTGACAAAAATTTTCAACAGATCCTTGCAACAAGGTATCTTCCCAGAGGAACTTAAAACCGCTTTTGTCTCCCCCATTTACAAAAACGGTGACAAATCTGACTGTAGCAATTATAGGCCTATTTCGATTTTGTCGACTATTGCAAAAATATTAGAAAAAACTGTCTACAATCAGTTAATTTCGTATATAAATGAGAATAACATTCTGTCTGGTAATCAATTTGGATTTCGAAAATCTCATTCAACTGTAACGTCGTTGTTAAATGCTACAAGTAATTGGCTTCTAAATATTGATAAAGGCCTTATAAATGGAGTCTTGTTCCTAGACCTACGGAAAGCATTTGACACTGTTGATCATATAATCCTAATTGAAAAGCTAAAACTGTATGGAATTACAGGGGGTGCCTTGAAGTGGTTTATATCATACTTAGAAAAAAGATATCAAACATGTAAAATGAATAACGTTAAATCATCCAGAAAATTAATTAAATGTGGTGTTCCCCAGGGGTCTAATTTAGGACCCCTTCTATTCTTATTATATGTCAATGACCTGCCAAATTGTCTTGATCAGGCAAAACCTTCGATGTTTGCTGATGATACTAATATCTCCGTATCTGCGGAATCCGTAGACGAATTGGAGGAAAAATTGAACACCGATCTTAGTAATATTTATCAATGGTTAGTGGAAAACAAATTAACACTTAACGTTTCTAAAACAGAATATATGATTATTGGCTCTCGAAATAATCTAAGTAAGATTAATGTGGATCCAACAATTAAAATTGGTGGCGATTCTATTAATAGAGTTAAAACAACAAAAAGTCTTGGCGTGGTCATTGACGATAAGTTGAGATGGGAGGACCACATTGACAGCATCAGTAAAAAAGTTTCAAGCGGAATAGGAGCGATAAAATTGATCAAGCCTTATGTTCCAAAGGATTGCCTAAATCAGATTTATAATGCTCTTGTGCAGCCATATTTTGACTATTGCTCTCTAGTATGGCAAAATTGTAAACTAGAGTTGCAACTGAAACTTCAAAAACTTCGAAATAGGGCAGCAAGAGTTATAACTGGAGATAACTGGGAGGTTCGTTCAAAAGATGTTCTTAGCAAACTGAATTGGCAACCACTAAACCAGATAAGATTGGTTAAGACGCTCTTGTTTATGCGCAAAATTCTAAAAAAGGAAGTTCCTACATCAATATCAGACCAGTTTCACACTTCGGTAAACGATCAATACAATCTACGTAGTAATTTTACTATGTTGAAACTGGCAAAACCAAGAACAAATGCACTGAAGCGTAATTTTAGCTACCATGGTGCAAAAACTTGGAATAATTTGCCAACTGAATTGAAAATCTCACGATCTCTGAGAGAGTTTTCAAAAATAAATTACAAGATTTCATTCGCGAAAATAATTCATTTTTGAACAATTTTTCAAGTTGCCAGTGACTGCTATAAAACATTTTTTCAATAAACTGTTACTTAGAGTGTATGTTTTTGTGGAGTTTTTATTAAGTGTTTTGTGGAGTCTTTAAGTCGGTTCGTATTGTTAATAGAGTTTTAGTATGTCGAAATTTACAATTTGCTTACAATTTAGTAGAACTAAATGGGCGAAGGCGTATTTAATTAATTATATATTGCATGAAAGAGTACAGGTAAGGCTAATATGATTCTTTGCGGTTTGTCATGGATAATGTAGCCGCTTAAAATTAATCAATAGACCTTTCCCCTTATGAGTGAAATTTTGATCTAGACAAGCCTAACCAAACATTTCTTCACAGCTTGAAAGAGCATCACAAAATTAGTAACATTCCGAAGTTTCGTTGCGAATTGTTGTAAAATGCGGATAATATAGCCTTGCGAAATTTGCCGTTTTTCAGTCATTGTATTACAAATGGAAAATTGATAATCAGTTTGATCATCTGATTATCAATTTCCCGTTTGTAATGCAACATTTTGCAAAAACGGCAAACTTCGCAAGGCTATATTATCCGCATTTTACAACATTCAACGAAACTTCGGAATATTACTAATTTTGTGATGCTCTTTCAAGCTGTGGTGAAATTTTTGTCCAGGCTTGTCCAGATCAAAATTTCACTCAAATGGGGAAATTAAGGTCTATTGTAGAGGTATGCATATCCAATCCGAATCCGATCCAATTCGTTAGGATTTCGGAACCAAAATATAAATTTCGGATTGGATTGATAAAGTTGTTTCGGAGTCGGTTCGGACTTCGATATCCGAAATAAAATAAATTAATTATCCATGCATTACCGCAAGAATTAATTATCCATACATTTATCAAAGTATCATCGCGGTTTTCGCTGCATTATTCGTTTGATACTTCAATTGGACGTCACTTTGTCAGCTTCTTGACATGTATTCTTGCTTTTATATTTATTTGGTTAAATATTTCAACTTGAATGAGAAATGTATTTTATTAAAGAATTCTTCGGATCGGATATGATTGGAATTCTTTTTCAAAACTCGGATCGGATTAGACAATTTCGGATCGGATTTTAGGATTTAGACAATTTTTTAGACAATTTCGGATCGGACATTAGGCAATTGTCGGATTATAAACGTCCAATCCGATCCGATGCACACCTCTAGTCTAGTGTCAGTATTTTAAAGGTATATTATTTAAATGATAAAGGTGTGCATGATTTTGAAAAAAGAATGATTATCAGCAAATTATTGTAAGGGCTGCTGCCCAGTCCCTCCCCCTCCCCCCGACTGCTACGGCTCTGAGAATAATAAACCGAAAAACATTTACCGATTTACGATTTGTTTTACGTTATCCATGTAAATGCCGTGATTTCGTAAATCAGTTTATACCAATGGTTTATACTGACAATACCATTTTATAATATTTTCTCTGTTTAAACAACTAAAATTTTGTTATACTATTATTGCCGTAATTTTCCGAATGGCCAACCCGATTTTCCGAATATGTTAATTCTACAAACATTGGAGGGGTTAACCCCCCCCCAATACGCCCCTCGCTACGGCCCTGGGCGAAGCCGCAGCCATGGCAAATGATCATGCTATGCTAATAAACCTGCATATAAATTGGCCAATACATTTCCAAAGGTTTCAATAATGCAAATAATTAAAAATTTGCATAGCATAACCTTCTCATATAAGATTACTGTATAGCCTTGCCATTGTTTATACAATCGTGCAACTCTATACCATCGAGTATAGGAAGCATAAGCCTGAGAAGATTTATATATAGCTCAGGGAGCCAAATAGTTATAACATACTTATGCGTTCTCCTAATATCGGGAATGTGGTTCTTTAGCCAGGCAGACCCAGGCTTCAGTATTATAACACAGACTTCGAAGAATAAATTTGCTAACTTAGTTGGGCAGTATACATTGGGTGGATGAATTCGGGTTCATGTTGGAAAGTACAAGTTGGCTTTAGGTTTAAGACATATAAGTATGCTTTCTTATGGAATATTTGTTTTATTACCGTATCGATCGATACATAGATATTAGAGACAATCATACACTGTTAGTCAAAGCTAAATACATAAATAAATTGCATTGCGGCCTTGATGCACCCTACTGTACTTCATTATATAGCTAATTAAATCATTCTTACGGCAGGCGATTTTACTCGTCAAGGACAATAGATGAAATTCGTGTGGTCTTAATTTTGAACCTGCAATTCGCGCGATTTAATTTGCCGTCACCTATATTCGATATTTTTGGGCAAAATTAATTTCGGGCTTCTTTTGACGGAACAAAACATTAGACTCGCAGTTAAATGCTGGCTCTCCCTTAGTACATTGTGGCATAAAATGCTCAAAAAGTCCCTAAACAAATATCAACAGGTCAGCTTTCTTTATGTATATAGTTATTATGGGGAATCGATCGTATATGTGATTTCTAATTTGCTTCTCATTCAACTATTAATTATTATTTTTTATTTGTGCATGCCTAGTGATGTTTTTTGATTTCCTGCAATCTGATTGGCTGCAGCAGCGGGCAGCTTTTTTACGATATCTTGACCGTGGTCCAAAAGTGTTATTTTTTAGCGACAAACCAAGGAGTGAAGACAATTTTCAAACTCAAAACATTATCCAAAATGTTTAGAAATACACTCTATTGATACTAAAGACAGTAAAATACAGTGAATTGGCTTTAGTGGACTTAGTGCCAAGCCCAAAATGTACTTTTCTCCGACAAAAATGCGAAAAAAATAACATAAACATAAAAAAACACTGGTCAGTGCTACATGTTTTGACTCAAATGCTCTACATATATTCCACTATTTTTCGAAAATATACGTATAAATTAAAAATAATACAACGTACAACTGTACTTGTCCTTAAACATAAAACTTAAAAAAAACTTAAAGGCCAAGTTTAAAGACAATTCCTGGGCTTATTTCGGTCAAAATTGTTTTTATAAAAGTTGTAATGAACAAATTGTTTTTCGGCAACTAGAATTTGTATTTTTCTGTAAAAAAGCATTTTTCAAGCATGTTCATGCTGTAAAACAAATCGGAAAATAAATATTTTTACTTAGTTTACCTTCTGTTTTCTTGATGAATAGAAAAGCATCTGTTGCAATGAAACCAAAAGCTCAGTTTTACCCAGCTTTTGTCGCGTCCGGTTTTAGCAGTTTGTCAGCCGTGCTTGCACTAAAGTAACAAACGCAACTGATCTCGAATGTACTTCGCAACTGGAATTTTATCCGAATTCATTATAACCAAGCATGAACTATCAAATAAAAAAATAAACACGTTATTTACCGTTTAGGTCGGTCCGTACAAAAAATATTTTCCCTCGGCCTCAGAAGCGTCCCTCGGCCTCGGGCAGCTTCTGAGACCTCGGAAATATTTTCTCAGTACGGACCTCGCAGCCGGTAAATAACATATATGTATTTTATGTCATAGGAAACTGAAGTTCACATACACCCGGATTATATTTTGTCCATGTCAATACTTTTTCCAGTGGATTATGTTTCCCTCAATTCTAATTTCGGGCGACCATGGCCTAGCTCCGTTTCGTTTGATTTACTGGCGTATATTTACCCCGAATTACAATTTATATATAATTCGGGGCTATGATGAATTTGTAATGGCCTGCATGAAGAAGGAATTGCAACCACAAACTCAAGCCCCTAAAACATAGTAAATACCATATACAGAGGCCTCACTTATTATTAGCTTTAGCGTAACTCCTTTTGTCCAGTTCGCCATATTAATTCTTAGCAAGTGCCATAAAGAGATGCTGTCATCCGCATAAAAACATATCAAGATTTAATGTTCCTCTCCTCGTGCCTAGACCGCGAGCAGTCCCTCGAAGATTACAAAGTCGAAAAGTCGGGCAAATGTTCAACAAAAGTCGGGCAAAAGTCCGGGAAAAAGTAGTCAAAGCAATAAAATCTCCCGTAATAATAACCCCAGTTTGTCGGGCAAACCAAGCCAGTTGAGCAATATTCGCTTCACAGTCGGGCAATATTGGGTTATTATAAAAATAAATGGGATAAATTCTGCCAGTTTCGCGGGAAATTATGTAAATTTTGTGATGTTTGGGAAAATTTGTTTGATGTTCTGAAAAATTTAGGTATGTCCGAAAAATTTTTGGACCCCTAAATGGTACACTGACCGAAATTTTTTTGGCGACGGGTGGGGGGGGGGGGGGCGCCAAAATTTACTGTTCCGGAAAAAAAATTTTCGGGCACTGGTCGGGCACAATTCGAAAAAGTCGGGCAAATTTCTTTCTGCCCCCCTAATTTTTTCCTTCCCGTATGCCTATGAAAATATGCCCGCTTTTCGCTCTTGTCAAATTGGCTCCGCCTTTGCATAAACATTACTATATCCACTTAAATCTATCCAATAGGAGACCGTAAATGTCATGTTTATTTACAGGGTGTATAAGAAAAGGTAATCGAACTTCAGCGCGCTATTGTACCTGAATTACTCGGCGTATGAACATTTTTTTCATATTCGAAAAGATCATGCTTTTAGCTGTTGAAT